TAATTGCCAAGACCTGGGACTTACTTTCCACAAAATAAAGGTTGAAGTGAACATCAGCTGCAGCTGCTGGCCCACATCTGCAAGCAAGCGCTCAACCATGGATCATGAGGCTGGAAGGACAAATAAAGCTTGGTGTAATCTGTATAGCAGTGGTATGAGAAGCAGACAAGGTGTAAGATGATAGGCATAGTTCTATAATGCATGTATGTGTGCAACTGTTACTAAAATACATCACAGATATTGTTTTTGGAGGATGCGGGCATCGATCCCACTACCTCTCGCATGCTAAGCGAGCACTCTACCATCTGAGCTAATCCCCCTGGCAAAATGCTTGTATCTCATCGATCGTCAGGCTGGAAGGCCAAATAGAGCCGGGCATCATCCGCATTGCAGTGGTATGAGAAGCCATGAGACTCAATCATCTGTCCCACAGATGTATTGTAGATAGAAAAGAGCAGCTGACAAAAACTGACCTCTTCAGAATGCCGTGTGGCCATTTGAACCATACAGTGTGGAAAATGTTTGAAGTGAACATCAACTGCAGCTGCTGGCCCACATCTGCAAGCAAGCGCTCTACCATGGATTGTCAGGGTGTAAGGACAAATAAAACTTGGTGTAATCAGCACAGCAGTCGTTTGAGGAGCAGACAGGGTGTAAGATGATTGGCTTAGTTCTATAATGCATGAATGTGTGCAACTGTTTCTAAAATAGGTCACCGAGATTGGGTTTGGAGGATCCAGTCATCGATCTCGCTAAATGCCAAGACCTGGGACTTACTTACCACAAAATAAAGGTTGAAGTGAACATCAGCTGCAGCTGCTGGCCCACATCTGCAAGCAAGCGCTCAACCATGGATCATGAGGCTGGAAGGACAAATAAAGCTTGGTGTAATCTGTATAGCAGTGGTATGAGAAGCCATGAGACTCAATCATCTGTCCCACAGATGTATTGTAGATAGAAAAGAGCAGCTGACAAAAACTGACCTCTTCAGAATGCCGTGTGGCCATTTGAACCATACAGTGTGGAATTAGTTACAGCTACAGCTGCTGGCCCACATCTGCAAGCAAGCGCTTTACCATGTATTCGGCAGACAAGGTGTGAGATGATTGGCTTAGTTCTATAATGCATGAATGTGTGCAACTGTTACTAAAATAGGTCAGCGAGATTGGGTTTGGAGGATCCAGGCATCGATCTCGCTAATTGCCAAGACCTGGGACTTACTTTCCACAAAATAAAGGTTGAAGTGAACATCAGCTGCAGCTGCTGGCCCACATCTGCAAGCAAGCGCTCAACCATGGATCATGAGGCTGGAAGGACAAATAAAGCTTGGTGTAATCTGTATAGCAGTGGTATGAGAAGCAGACAAGGTGTAAGATGATAGGCATAGTTCTATAATGCATGTATGTGTGCAACTGTTACTAAAATATGTCACAGATATTGTTTTTGGAGGATGCGGGCATCGATCCCACTACCTCTCGCATGCTATGCGCGCACTCTACCATCTGAGCTAATCCCCCTGGCAAAATGCTTGTATCTCATCGATCGTCAGGCTGGAAGGCCAAATAGAGCCGGGCATCATCCGCATTGCAGTGGTATGAGAAGCCATGAGACTCAATCATCTGTCCCACAGATGTATTGTAGATAGAAAAGAGCACCCTGACAAAAACTGACCTCTTCAGAATGCCGTGTGGCCATTTGAACCATACAGAGTGGAAAATGTTTGAAGTGAACATCAACTGCAGCTGCTGGCCCACATCTGCAAGCAAGCGCTCTACCATGGATTGTCAGGGTGTAAGGACAAATAAAACTTGGTGTAATCAGCACAGCAGTCGTTTGAGGAGCAGACAGGGTGTAAGATGATTGGCTTAGTTCTATAATGCATGAATGTGTGCAACTGTTACTAAAATAGGTCACCGAGATTGGGTTTGGAGGATCCAGTCATCGATCTCGCTAAAAGTCAAGACCTGGGACTTACTTATCACAAAATAAAGGTTGAAGTGAACATCAACTGCAGCTGCTGGCCCACATCTGCAAGGAAGCGCTCTACCATGGATTGTCAGGGTGTAAGGACAAATAAAACTTGGTGTAATCAGCACAGCAGTCGTTTGAGGAGCAGACAGGGTGTAAGATGATTGGCTTAGTTCTATAATGCATGAATGTGTGCAACTGTTTCTAAAATAGGTCACCGAGATTGGGTTTGGAGGATCCAGTCATCGATCTCGCTAAATGCCAAGACCTGGGACTTACTTATCACAAAATAAAGGTTGAAGTGAACATCAGCTGCAGCTGCTGGCCCACATCTGCAAGCAAGCGCTCAACCATGGATCATGAGGCTGGAAGGACAAATAAAGCTTGGTGTAATCTGTATAGCAGTGGTATGAGAAGCAGACATGGTGTAAGATGATAGGCATAGTTCTATAATGCATGTATGTGTGCAACTGTTACTAAAATACGTCACAGTTACTGTTTTTGGAGGATGCGGGCATCGATCCCACTACCTCTCGCATGCTAAGCGAGCACTCTACCATCTGAGCTAATCCCCCTGCCAAAAAGCTTGTATCTCATCGATCGTCAGGCTGGAAGGCCAAATAGAGCCGGGCATCATCCGCATTGCAGTGGTATGAGAAGCCATGATACTCAATCATCTGTCCGACAGATGTATTGTAGATAGAAAAGAGCAGCTGACAAAAACTGACCTCTTCAGAATGCCGTGTGGCCATTTGAACCATACAGTGTGGAAAATGTTTGAAGTGAACATCAACTGCAGCTGCTGGCCCACATCTGCAAGCAAGCGCTCTACCATGGATTGTCAGGGTGTAAGGACAAATAAAACTTGGTGTACTCAGCACAGCAGTCGTTTGAGGAGCAGACAGGGTGTAAGATGATTGGCTTAGTTCTATAATGCATGTATGTGTGCAACTGTTACTAAAATACGTCACAGATATTGTTTTTGGAGGATGCAGGCATCGATCCCACTACCTCTCGCATGCGAGCACTCTACCATCTGAGCTAATCCCCCTGACAAAAACCTTGTATCTCATCGATCATCAGGCTGGAAGGCCAAATAGAGCCGGGCATCATCCGCATTGCAGTGGTATGAGAAGCCATGAGACTCAATCATCTGTCCCACAGATGTATTGTAGATAGAAAAGAGCAGCTGACAAAAACTGACCTCTTCAGAATGCCGTGTGGCCATTTGAACCATACAGTGTGGAAAATGTTTGAAGTGAACATCAACTGCAGCTGCTGGCCCACATCTGCAAGCAAGCGCTCTACCATGGATTGTCAGGGTGTAAGGACAAATAAAACTTGGTGTAATCAGCACAGCAGTCGTTTGAGGAGCAGACAGGGTGTAAGATGATTGGCTTAGTTCTATAATGCATGAATGTGTGCAACTGTTTCTAAAATAGGTCACCGAGATTGGGTTTGGAGGATCCAGTCATCGATCTCGCTAAATGCCAAGACCTGGGACTTACTTATCACAAAATAAAGGTTGAAGTGAACATCAACTGCAGCTGCTGGCCCACATCTGCAAGCAAGCGCTCTACCATGGATTGTCAGGGTGTAAGGACAAATAAAACTTGGTGTAATCAGCACAGCAGTCGTTTGAGGAGCAGACAGGGTGTAAGATGATTGGCTTAGTTCTATAATGCATGAATGTGTGCAACTGTTTCTAAAATAGGTCACCGAGATTGGGTTTGGAGGATCCAGTCATCGATCTCGCTAAATTCAAGACCTGGGACTTACTTATCACAAAATAAAGGTTGAAGTGAACATCAGCTGCAGCTGCTGGCCCACATCTGCAAGCAAGCGCTCAACCATGGATCATGAGGCTGGAAGGACAAATAAAGCTTGGTGTAATCTGTATAGCAGTGGTATGAGAAGCAGACATGGTGTAAGATGATAGGCATAGTTCTATAATGCATGTATGTGTGCAACTGTTACTAAAATACGTCACAGTTACTGTTTTTGGAGGATGCGGGCATCGATCCCACTACCTCTCGCATGCTAAGCGAGCACTCTTCCATCTGAGCTAATCCCCCTGCCAAAAAGCTTGTATCTCATCGATCGTCAGGCTGGAAGGCCAAATAGAGCCGGGCATCATCCGCATTGCAGTGGTATGAGAAGCCATGAGACTCAATCATCTGTCCCACAGATGTATTGTAGATAGAAAAGAGCAGCTGACAAAAACTGACCTCTTCAGAATGCGTGTGGCCATTTGAACCATACAGTGTGGAAAATGTTTGAAGTGAACATCAACTGCAGCTGCTGGCCCACATCTGCAAGCAAGCGCTCTACCATGGATTGTCAGGGTGTAAGGACAAATAAAAATTGTGTGTAATCAGCCACAGCAGTCGTTTGAGGAGCAGACAGGGTGTAAGATGATTGGCTTAGTTCTATAATGCATGAATGTGTGCAACTGTTTCTAAAATAGGTCACCGAGATTGGGTTTGGAGGATCCAGTCATCGATCTCGCTAAATGCCAAGACCTGGGACTTACTTATCACAAAATAAAGGTTGAAGTGAACATCAACTGCAGCTGCTGGCCCACATCTGCAAGCAAGCGCTCTACCATGGATTGTCAGGGTGTAAGGACAAATAAAACTTGGTGTAATCAGCACAGCAGTCGTTTGAGGAGCAGACAGGGTGTAAGATGATTGGCTTAGTTCTATAATGCATGAATGTGTGCAACTGTTTCTAAAATAGGTCACCGAGATTGGGTTTGGAGGATCCAGTCATCGATCTGCGCTAAATGCCAAGACCTGGGACTTACTTATCACAAAATAAAGGTTGAAGTGAACATCAGCTGCAGCTGCTGGCACCCACATCTGCAAGCAAGCGCTCAACCATGGATCATGAGGCTGGAAGGACAAATAAAGCTTGGTGTAATCTGTATAGCAGTGGTATGAGAAGCAGACATGGTGTAAGATGATAGGCATAGTTCTATAATGCATGTATGTGTGCAACTGTTACTAAAATACGTCACAGTTACTGTTTTTTGGAGGATGCGGGCATCGATCCACTACTTCCTCTCGCATGCTAAGCGAGCACTCTTCCATCTGAGCTAATCCCCCTGCCAAAAAGCTTGTATCTCATCGATCGTCAGGCTGGAAGGCCAAATAGAGCCGGGCATCATCCGCATTGCAGTGGTATGAGAAGCCATGATACTCAATCATCTGTCCGACAGATGTATTGTAGATAGAAAAGAGCAGCTGACAAAAACTGACCTCTTCAGAATGCCGTGTGGCCATTTGAACCATACAGTGTGGAAAATGTTTGAAGTGAACATCAACTGCAGCTGCTGGCCCACATCTGCAAGCAAGCGCTCTACCATGGATTGTCAGGGTGTAAGGACAAATAAAACTTGGTGTACTCAGCACAGCAGTCGTTTGAGTAGCAGACAGGGTGTAAGATGATTGGCTTAGTTTTATAATGCATGTATGTGTGCAACTGTTACTAAAATACGTCACAGATATTGTTTTTGGAGGATGCAGGCATCGATCCCACTACCTCTCGCATGCGAGCACTCTACCATCTGAGCTAATCCCCCTGTCTGTAAGGTTGTATCTCATCGATCGTCAGGCTGGAAGGCCAAATAGAGCCAGGCATCATCCGCATTGCAGTGGTATGAGAAGCCATGATACTCAATCATCTGTCCGACAGATGTATTGTAGATAGAAAAAGGCAGCTGACAAAAACGACCTCTTCAGAATGCCGTGTGGCCATTTGAACCATACAGTGTGGAAAATGTTTGAAGTGTACATCAACTGCAGCTGCTGGCCCACATCTGCAAGCAAGCGCTCTACCATGGATTGTCAGGGTGTAAGGACAAATAAAATTTGGTGTAATCAGCACAGCAGTCGTTTGAGGAGCAGACAGGGTGTAAGATGATTGGCTTAGTTCTATAATGCATGTATGTGTGCAACTGTTACGTAAAATACGTCACAGATATTGTTTTGGAGGATGCAGGAATCGATCCCACTACCTCTCGCGTGCAGCACTCTACCATCTGAGCTAATCCCCCAAAAACCTTGTATCTCATCGATCATCAGGCTGGAAGGCCAAATAGAGCCGGGCATCATCCGCATTGCAGTGGTATGAGAAGCCATGAGACTCAATCATCTGTCCCACAGATGTATTGTAGATAGAAAAGAGCAGCTGACAAAAACTGACCTCTTCAGAATGCCGTGTGGCCATTTGAACCATACAGTGTGGAATTAGTTACAGCTACAGCTGCTGGCCCACATCTGCAAGCAAGCGCTCTACCATGTATCGGCAGACAAGGTGTGAGATGATTGGCTTAGTTCTATAATGCATGAATGTGTGCAACTGTTACTAAAATAGGTCACCGAGATTGGGTTTGGAGGATCCAGGCATCGATCTCGCTAAATGCCAAGACCTGGGACTTACTTACCACAAAATAAAGGTTGAAGTGAACATCAGCTGCAGCTGCTGGCCCACATCTGCAAGCAAGCGCTCAACCATGGATCATGAGGCTGGAAGGACAAATAAAGCTTGGTGTAATCTGTATAGCAGTGGTATGAGAAGCAGACAAGGTGTAAGATGATAGGCATAGTTCTATAATGCATGTATGTGTGCAACTGTTACTAAAATACGTCACAGATATTGTTTTTGGAGGATGCGGGCATCGATCCCACTACCTCTCGCATGCTAAGCGAGCACTCTACCATCTGAGCTAATCCCCCTGCCAAAATGCTTGTATCTCATCGATCGTCAGGCTGGAAGGCCAAATAGAGCCGGGCATCATCCGCATTGCAGTGGTATGAGAAGCCATGAGACTCAATCATCTGTCCCTAAAATAGGTCACCGAGATTGGGTTTGGAGGATCCAGGCATCAATCTCGCTAAATGCCAAGACCTGGGACTTACTTACTTACTCAATCATCTGTCCCACAGATGTATTGTAGATAGAAATGAGCAGCGGACCAAAACTGACCTCTTCAGAATGCCGTGTGGCCATTTGAACCATACAGTGTGGAATCAGTTACAGCTACAGCTGCTGGCCCACATCTGCAAGCAAGCGCTCTACCATGTATCGTCAGGGTGTAAGGACAAATAAAGCTTGGTGTAATCAGCACAGCAGTGGTTTGAGAAGCAGACAGGGTGTAAGATAAATGGCTTAGTTCTATAATGCATGAATGTGTGCAACTGTTACTAAAATAGGTCACCGAGATTGTTTTTGAGTGGTTTTTGGAGGATCCAGGCATCGATCTCGCTAAATGCCAAGACCTGGGACTTACTTAACCCAAAATAAAGGTTGAAGTGAACATTAGCTGCAGCTGCTGGCACAGAACCGCAAGCCAGCGCTCAACCATGGATCATCAGTCTGGAAGGACAAATATAGCTTGGTGTAATCTTTATAGCAGTGGTATGAGAAGCAGACAAGGTGTAAGATGATTGGCTTAGTTCTATAATGCATGAATGTGTGCAACTGTTTCTAAAATATGTCACAGAGACTGTTTTTGGAGGATGCAGGCATCGATCCCACTACCTCTCGCATGCGAAGCAAGCACTCTACCATCTGAGCTAATCCCCCTGTCTGTAAGGTTGTATCTCATCGATCGTCAGGCTGGAAGGCCAAATAGAGCCGGGCATCATCCGCATTGCAGTGGTATGAGAAGCCATGAGACTCAATCATCTGTCCCACAGATGTATTGTAGATAGAAAAGAGCAGCTGACAAAAACTGACCTCTTCAGAATGCCGTGTGGCCATTTGAACCAACATACGTGTGGAAAATGTTTGAAGTGAACATCAACTGCAGCTGCTGGCCCACATCTGCAAGCAAGCGCTCTACCATGGATTGTCAGGGTGTAAGGACAAATAAAACTTGGTGTAATCAGCACAGCAGTCGTTTGAGGAGCAGACAGGGTGTAAGATGATTGGCTTAGTTCTATAATGCATGAATGTGTGCAACTGTTACTAAAATAGGTCACCGAGATTGGGTTTGGAGGATCCAGTCATCGATCTCGCTAAATGCCAAGACCTGGGACTTACTTACCACAAAATAAAGGTTGAAGTGAACATCAACTGCAGCTGCTGGCCCACATCTGCAAGCAAGCGCTCTACCATGGATTGTCAGGGTGTAAGGACAAATAAAACTTGGTGTAATCAGCACAGCAGTCGTTTGAGGAGCAGACAGGGTGTAAGATAAATGGCTTAGTTCTATAATGCATGAATGTGTGCAACTGTTACTAAAATAGGTCACCGAGATTGTTTTTGAGTGGTTTTTGGAGGATCCAGGCATCGATCTCGCTAAATGCCAAGACTTGGGACTTACTTAACCCAAAATAAAGGTTGAAGTGAAAATTAGCTGCAGCTGCTGGCACAGAACCGCAAGCCAGCGCTCAACCATGGATCATCAGTCTGGAAGGACAAATATAGCTTGGTGTAATCTTTATAGCAGTGGTATGAGAAGCAGACAAGGTGTAAGATGATTGGCTTAGTTCTATAATGCATGAATGTGTGCAACTGTTTCTAAAATATGTCACAGAGACTGTTTTTGGAGGATGCAGGCATCGATCCCACTACCTCTCGCATGCGAAGCAAGCACTCTACCATCTGAGCTAATCCCCCTGTCTGTAAGGTTGTATCTCATCGATCGTCAGGCTGGAAGGCCAAATAGAGCCGGGCATCATCCGCATTGCAGTGGTATGAGAAGCCATGAGACTCAATCATCTGTCCCACAGATGTATTGTAGATAGAAAAGAGCAGCTGACAAAAACTGACCTCTTCAGAATGCCGTGTGGCCATTTGAACCATACAGTGTGGAAAATGTTTGAAGTGTACATCAACTGCAGCTGCTGGCCCACATCTGCAAGCAAGCGCTCTACCATGGATTGTCAGGGTGTAAGGACAAATAAAACTTGGTGTAATCAGCACAGCAGTCGTTTGAGGAGCAGACAGGGTGTAAGATGATTGGCTTAGTTCTATAATGCATGTATGTGTGCAACTGTTACTAAAATATGTCACAGATATTGTTTTTGGAGGATGGCGGCATCGATCCCACTACCTCTCGCATGCGAGCACTCTACCATCTGAGCTAATCCCCCTGACAAAAACCTTCTATCTCATCGATCATCAGGCTGGAAGGCCAAATAGAGCCGGGCATCATCCGCATTGCAGTGGTATGAGAAGCCATGAGACTCAATCATCTGTCCCACAGATGTATTGTAGATAGAAAAGAGCAGCTGACAAAAACTGACCTCTTCAGAATGCCGTGTGGCCATTTGAACCATACAGTGTGAAATTAGTTACAGCTACAGCTGCTGGCCCACATCTGCAAGCAAGCGCTTTACCATGTATCGGCAGACAAGGTGTGAGATGATTGGCTTAGTTCTATAATGCATGAATGTGTGCAACTGTTACTAAAATAGGTCACCGAGATTGGGTTTGGAGGATCCAGGCATCGATCTCGCTAAATGCCAAGACCTGGGACTTACTTATCACAAAATAAAGGTTGAAGTGAACATCAACTGCAGCTGCTGGCCCACATCTGCAAGCAAGCGCTCTACCATGGATTGTCAGGGTGTAAGGACAAATAAAACTTGGTGTAATCAGCACAGCAGTCGTTTGAGGAGCAGACAGGGTGTAAGATGATTGGCTTAGTTCTATAATGCATGAATGTGTGCAACTGTTTCTAAAATAGGTCACCGAGATTGGGTTTGGAGGATCCAGTCATCGATCTCGCTAAATGCCAAGACCTGGGACTTACTTATCACAAAATAAAGGTTGAAGTGAACATCAGCTGCAGCTGCTGGCCCACATCTGCAAGCAAGCGCTCAACCATGGATCATGAGGCTGGAAGGACAAATAAAGCTTGGTGTAATCTGTATAGCAGTGGTATGAGAAGCAGACATGGTGTAAGATGATAGGCATAGTTCTATAATGCATGTATGTGTGCAACTGTTACTAAAATACGACACAATTACTGTTTTTGGAGGATGCGGGCATCGATTCCACTACCTCTCGCATGCTAAGCGCGCACTCTTCCATCTGAGCTAATCCCCCTGCCAAAAAGCTTGTATCTCATCGATCGTCAGGCTGGAAGGCCAAA